TTGATTACAACCTTGAAATCCTAGTGCTGCTTGTATTTGTAGTTCTTCACGGTATCAAAACGTTTCTTCTTCCTAGAATCTTCTTCGGCAACGGCGGAAATCCCTTCATTTAAGTCATTGTTGTCTTTTTCTCTATCATCAGAAGAAAGTTGAGCGGTAGGGTTAAGGCCCTCGATTTGCTCCTTCCGGAGGGCATTACGGAGTCGAGGAGCCTTGGTCTTCCTACTAATTGCTCTCCGATTCTTCCTCTTCTTCCCATTGGCCATACCTAAAAAAAACCTTAAACTGCTCTATTATGTTCAAGCGGTTCCTGAATTCGTTTTCAAAGTAAATCAGTGGAAGGCGGATCGAGGTGTTGATGATAGTGACTTCGGTTCGGTTTAGGCGGGGGCGGCGCTGGAAGAAAATAGATAAGCCCTTAAAAGGTTCGTTAGAATTGATATGAAAATAATAATAATAATAAAAAGGTTCGGAGTAGTAGAATATAATTGAGTAATTTTTGTAATGACATCAATAAATACCTTACAAATAAGACTGAACAAAATCTTAAAAAATACTTACAGTACCTCCATTATTTCTTATCTATAAGCGTATGCACAGATATTAGAAAAATAATGCTTGAAACTTTAATATTTGAGTATAATAATAATATCTTGAAAGTAAAGATTTATAATGGTGAAATTAGAAAATTGTACTCAATATTGTATCAGAAATGAAGTGCGGACATGAAAAATAGTATAGAATTCATTATAAAAAGACAGAATTAAAAAATGAGATAGTAATAAACTGTTGGACTGGTTTCCCCACAATTAGGCCCAGCAATGATTGAAATCAAATCAATTTGGTTTATAGTTTTTGACCGGGAAAGAAAACCCAATTGTTTTTGGGTTTTGGTTTTGATTTTTTGATTATAAAAGCAAAGCTATCGCACAACCTTTGTGCGTGGAAATTTGGGCAGCAAACCACACTTGTTTTGTGCGAGAGAATTCAGCCGCGCATCTTCGTGTGTATGAGAGAAAAGAGAAGAAAAGCTAGTTCGGGGTTTTTGCGTTGTAAGAAGAAAGTGTTTCACTTTAAGATTTTGATCGGGTGACGATGCAGAGCCAGTTGTTGGTGCAAGTTTGCACGTTTGTTCCTCTCAACAAGATCTACAATTCTTCTGGTTTAGTTTTCAGATAAGCTCTCTTTTGGTGAGATCCTTCTAATCCTATTTTGTGGTTTAGGTTTATTTTGGAAGAGTATTGTTATAATCTACCTTTGGGTAAAGTCCTGTGCATCCATCGGTTGGTCAAGACTGTTTTCCTATTATTGTGATAGTGGAGGTTTGACTGTTGTTACAGTCCCGTGATTTTTTCCGATTTGGGTTTTCCACGTAAATTTGTGTGCCTACTTTACTTTATCAGTTATTTGATTATTTACTAGTTTTGTTAGTTGTCCTATTTTACTGGTAGTAGGAAAGGAGTTTTTTTTGGGGTTCGCTTCCGTATTGTGTTGAGTTTATGCCCTTTCCACCACAACAATGGCATCAGAGCTATGTTTTGGTAGTTGAGGTGTTACACCAATAAAACAGAAGAGTCATCGAGTGCTGGTATGATGATTAAATTGACTTCATCCAATTATCATATGTGGTAGAATGGAAGACTTGTTGCATTGCAAAGATTTGTTTGATCATGTTCTAGGGGGATGAAGGTAGATCAAGTGATATGACTGATAAAAAAGTGGGCTGATATGTACAAGAAAACTGTTAGTAATATTCGACAGTGGATTGATCAAAGTGTGTTTCATCACTTTTTGGGAGAAACAAAAGCTAATGAACTTTGGGAGAAAATCCAGAATATGTACTGGAAGAAGTCTGGTATCAATAAGTCATCTGCGCTGAAACAGATTATCAAGTTGAGGTACAAAGATGGTGCTAGCATGAATGAGCACTTGAGTTCGTTTCAGGATTTGTTGAACCAGATAGTGAATGTATGTTTAAAGTTGGATGATGAGGTGCTAACTTTATAATTTTTCAGTTCTCTTCCACATAATTGGGACACTTTGGTAGTGTCACTCAGTAATTCAACTCAGGATGGTGTCTTGACCTTTAGATGAAGAACAAAATCAGAAATGGAGATTTTTTTTTTTTTTACAAGAACCAACTTACCAGTGCATACACTATTACATGAGCAGAGTGTATGGGAAAAGGGATAGTACTACTAAAGGAGACTCCACGGATGCATGTCCAGTCCACTTGTCCACCCTTGAAAGCACCTCCTTTTGTTGCTGCTACCTCCTACCCTGCAGAATAGTATGGCAAGTGATAAATCGGTGTCGTGGGGGTTTGAACCTGCATCACCGTAGATAAGTGTCGGAACCCCTACTATTGGCGAAATAGTGAGTGTTCAGTCGAGCAGACGAAGAAGATTGGGCAAGACAGAATCAATTTTCATTCACAATACGATGTAATACCATACACAATCCTTGACCAGATATTATAGTCTGACAATTTCTTTGGAATTTGCAAAACAGTCCCTATCGATAAAATATAGCTAAACTAGCCCAGTACAAGATACCTTGTCATCGACTTGTCTAAGTTGACGTATATGCTTATATACTTGTTTTTCCCTTCTAGAGCTAATTTTTACCCCACGCATTATGCAGGTTATATTAGTTATAAATTTAAAATTATATAGTTGATAATTATTTATATATAAATATACATATAAGGAATAAATAAAAATTTGAATTATTTAGATCATATTTGTTAATAAGTAATGCAATTCTTGAGGACATTAGAATAATAAGTTAGAAATTTAAATAAAAATATCTTACAATTCGAAAAGTATCTTTCATACATACTTTAGGGTGCGTTCTTTGAGCCGTAAAGGGAATGCTGCAATGGTAATTTCATTCTTAGTCACGAAAAGTCAATTCATTAAAGGAATTTACAATTTTCTTTACAATGTTTAGAAATGTTAAGCAATCGTAATCATATTCCCATTACGTAGTTCTTTTTTTGCTAAAAATACGGTGGGAATGGAAAAAGTAATATTTTTTCAATAAAATTAAAAATTTTCAATTTTTTTTAAAGATAATGAGAAAAGCCATTTCGTTATTATTTTAATAACATTAATAAAAAAATCAAATTGGACAACATTTATTTCATAAAATACTTTATAAGAACTATAAGTAGACATGAACTTTGGTTCCTTGAATTAGCGAAATTCAAAATCAACTCATTAAGTAAACTTGAAATGTTGAGATCATATATTTAAATGACTAAAATATAACAAAATCTGGAAACATATATAAAAAAAAGCATGTAAAAGTTTAAATGATTGGACTAAACTTCACATTCTTATTTTTCAAGGAGTAAATTATGAATAATCAATTTGGGAATACCCGTATATAAAGGGAAATTATACGAAAAACATGGGAGGGAAAAGGGAAAAAAGGCAGAATTGGGGCGGGAGTATTTTGGGATGCGATAAAAGTTTTTCAAATTTTTATTTCATTGATAATGAGATATTTTTAATAACTATTAAATGGAAAAGATTGTTTCAATCCCATTATCACATAACATATGGTATTTGATTTCTAGTAATTTATATTTTTACTGAACACCGTAATGAAAGTAATCGTAATAATATTTTGATACATCCATTTCTATTACGCCGCAAAGAACGCACCCTAAATTGCAGATTTTGTAGCGAAAAAAAGAAATCATTTTCATGAGGATAAATACTAATTTTCCTACTCTAAGTTCCAACCAGAATAGGATTTTGTTCATTTTGAATTATGACCGTAAAAATGGAGGAGAAATTTAGGGTGTGCTTGAAGTAATTAATAATTAGATTATTTTTAAATTAGAAAAAAAAACAGATTTTACTTTTTAGCATAAAGAAAAATTAATAATTAAGGTGATGATTTGGAGCCAACTAGACAGACATGTAAATAGAGTTATGAGAAAAATATCATTAGAATTTTATATGAATTTTTTTATGAACTCTTAAAACGTGACACGTGTCATTGAGAATTTTTCGATTAAACTAAAATGCTTAATTTATCCTCAAATCCTCATCTCTTAATATTTAAGCATTATCACAGTTTTTCCAAATTTAGATTTTCTTCGAAATTGTTGTCAAAAGTTAATAAAGAACATAGGACAACTTGAGACCCTCACACGCCATAACCGTTGAATTAATTCGATCGGCTTTCCATAGTTATTATGGGAACCGCCAAATGTTTTCAAATCTTCACAACTCATGCATAACAAAACTTGTCATTTTCTTCCCAAAAACTTCTTTGTAAGTTACAAATTAAGGACTTAGCCATGCAAGTTCACCAGAGGCAGTGGAAGAGAAAGCTAGGCTCCTGAAACTCGGAAACAACCTTTCAATTTTTTTTATTTTTTTTAATAAGTGTTAATGATCGTCTATCTATTGAAAAAGATGGAGGCTTCCAAGAGATTCGCCGTTGCTTAATTGTTTCCAGAACCAATGTGAAGTTCCAGATCCACATTCGTCGCAGCCATATCCGATTCTTGCTGATTCTTTTGTTGGGATTTAATTGGGAACGTTTATTACTCGTAAAGCACGTGCAAGAACGTACAAACAAATACTACTATGTAGATTATAATATACTCTTTCTGTCTTAAATATGATTGTCTGTACACATTTAATTTTTATTTTCAATAATGAAAATTCAAACTGAACAATCTTTTCTGACTAGCTCAGTGTTAGTTCATTTCTAAAAAAAAAAAAAAAAAAAACCGCTTAGTGCTAGCAAGTATTCGATCCTTGACCAGCTTAGTGGTAGCAAAATAATTAAGCAAGCAGCGCCTTTAATTGATTTCGTGCTGGGCCAATTTCAATAATTTAAAAATACCCACGTTGCCAAATAATATATTAATAACAATCTCGGGTATAGAAAATTAAAGTGTTTCGATTGCCTTTTATAAGCAGTGGGATGATGGAACTTCCAAAGAGAAATAGCAGTATAATTTTTAGTTTTAAAGTATGAAAAGCTTTACAGTTTTCTTCTGCTTTATTCCTTTCCTCCTCGTTTCGTCGCTTCAGTTTGTTGCAGTACTTGCAGCTGCTGCTCCAGCAGAAAGCAATGGAGTTTACATTGTTTACACCGGCGCTGCTGCTTCTTCATCAACTTGTTTCCCTTCCCACCATATTATGAGCTCTTCCTCCATGGAAAGGTCAGATTAATTACCAACTTTTTTCGGAATATTTTCGAGTCTAGTTGAACTGATTCTTAATTAGTCCAGCTGTGGGTTGATATACTTCTTCTTCTTTCCCTGTAATGTATCATTTGACTAAATTGTTCGGCCCAACTTTTTTTTTTTTTTTTTGGACAAGTAATTTATTATTTAGGTCCAATAAACAAGATGATAGCTAAGAGCTTTACACAAATTGGTTTATTAGGTGGCCCCAATAATGCCAAATCATCAGTTACAATTACTCCAATTTTATTACTCTTTCTAAACAGTGCTATTAGTGACCCTTTTTTTTTAAGAAGAGTGAGAAACTTGACTCATGTTTGTACTTTTTCAATTTTATTAAGATAAAGAGGCTGACTTGCAAATTTCAGTATCTTTTTCAGTACCTTTTTAAGATGAAGGGGCATTAGTGTGTGTGTGTGTGTCTATATATATATATATATATATATATGTATGTATGTATATATATAGATGTTTGATTCAAATCGAGAATAGTCGAACACTAATATAATGTTATTATATATGTGCAGAGTTGCTTTACGTTGCAGAGTCACATCTTTAGACATTTGTTTTTTCATTCTCTTCGGCCTTTATATTAGTCATGGTCCGCATGATCCTCGTGCATGATTATAGAATCTCGAAATTATTGTCCAGTTTGGATTTTTATTTTTAATACCAATTGAATTAAAAGTGAACACTCAAACTGGACAATAATTTCATAACAGAAGAAGTAAAATTAAGGAAGTCGTATAATTCACCATTGACTTGAATTTTACCTAAATTATATTGTATATCTTTTTGTTTTTGTTTTTTTTGTTTTTTGTTTTGTTTTTTTTTTTTTTTTGTATGTGTCTTATTTCTTGGTACAACATTTACATTGTGTTTATTTAACAGATGGAAAGACAGAGTTATACACAAATACACCAATGGATTTTCGGGATTTGCAGCTCAATTAACCAAAGCGGAGGCTGAATCAATTGCCGAAAGGCCTGAAGTTGTGTCAGTTTTCCCTGAATCAGTTCACCAACTCCATACAACACATTCGTGGAACTTTCTGAAGGATCTGAGTCAGGTTAAATCCGCACCCCGTTTCACTTCCAAATCAAGGGCTTCTTCCTTTGGTGAAGATACCATCATTGGCGTATTTGATACAGGTTAATTATATCTACATAAGTTTGCATCCTACCGAAATTTGATCATGTAATATTTTCAAAATGCACTTAATGATGATTAAATTACAAGAAATTTTGTTCCAGGGATTTGGCCAGAAGCAAAAAGTTTCAATGATGTGGGAATGGGCCCTATCCCCAAGCGATGGAAGGGAAAATGCATCCAAGGCCGTGATTTCAAGCCTTTCAGCTGCAACAGGTTTATCAGATATTTTCCAACACAAGAATCATTTCCACAAAGAATAATTTCTATGATGATGCAATTATAACTATACTAGTTCTTTTGAACATAAAGAACAGAGTTTGTGGTTATATATTATTCCGACTTCCCTGTGTTCTCATTGCATTTCACACTTTCCATCCAATGTTTTATGTTAGAATTTGTATTTTCACATTCTTCATACAACTTGATTAGTCTTTACGGTCCCTTAATTACTATTACTACAAATTCCATTTTGAATCAGGAAATTGATTGGAGCGAGGAATTACATAAAAAATGGTAACTTCACTTCGCCAAGGGACCGTGATGGACATGGCAGCCATGTTGCCGCAATTGCAGCCGGACGACGTGTTGGCGGGGCATCCTATCATGGCCTGGCTACTGGCATAGCCCAGGGAGGATCTCCAAACTCGAGGATTGCTGTTTACCGTGTTTGTGATGATCAATATTGCCCGGGTTCTATAAGCTCTAAAAGCATTTGATGACGCTGTTGCGGATGGCGTGGATGTGATCTCCTTATCGTCGGGCTATATATCCGATGATTTAACAACAGATCCGATTGCTATTGGATCGTTTCATGCTACTGAAAAGGGGATCCTGGTGATAGCCTCGGCTGGGAATGGTGGTGACGTCAACATCCCTTATTCGGTCCATAATGTTGCTCCCTGGATACTAACTGTAGGTGCAACCACCATGGACAGGTTCTTCGAGTCAGATGTTGTCTTGGGAGGAAACAAATCTGTTCAGGTAAACTACTCCCCTCGGTTCTTATTTATAGAAATCGAAGTTCCAATCGGTAGGTTTTGATCTGTTCTATGATACTTACATTGAGTATGGATATCAGGACCCTTTCCTCGCTGATTTTTGAAGTTCAAATATTGTGATTAAGTTAACGAGTTAGTTTCTCTAAGCATTTATCAGGGTGCTGGTATTCATTTGGGCAGGCTCCAGAAAACTCCAGTATACCCATTGATTACTGGCCTTTCAGCTAAGATTAATTCGTTCGTGTTTGACGAACATGCAAGGTATGCACTCGCCACACACACACACACACACACAGTCACAGAGGAAATATTCTCTGCCTCAGTGAAGGAAGAAAGCTGGATCAGCAAATTCACTGTATTTAATTCAGGGCTTGTTACTCAACTGCATTAGATGCAAACAAAATAAAAGGGAAGATTGTTCTCTGTGAAAGTGGAAACGAACGTGATTCAGCACAAGGGGCGCTTGAAACAATAAGAGGCATGGGTGGAATCGGAGTAATATATGCAGATTACTTCTCGAAACTTGTAGACCCGATTTCTGATTCTACTCCTTTGGTCGCTATTAACTGGCAAGATTCACCCCGGATTACTTCTTATATTAATTCATCCAGGTAAATTAATTAGCTATAGTTACGAATCGCTCTGAATTCGATATGATCGAACATTCATAACACCTCTAATGGTACATTTTTTTTTGTTTTGTACATTCCAAAAGCAGGAATCCTGTGGCAACTATTTTACCTACAGAAGTTGTGTCACAGTACAAGCCAGCACCATCTGTAGCATCATTCTCAGGGAAAGGCCCCATATATGGTAATGACTACCTAATCAAGGTACTGTACTTATACAACTTTCTCATTTTCCTTGTTCAAATGTATCATGTAATTTTACACTGGTGATAATCACCACAGATGAAGAACCGAAAAGTCCTACTTTTTTTTCGATTATAATGTTGTTGCGCTTTCACACAGCCTGATGTAGCAGCACCAGGAGTTGATATTATATCCGCATGGCCTTCCAATGACACAGATAAAGCCTTCAATATACTCTCGGGTACTTCAGTGGCCACTCCCCATGTTAGCGGAATTGCTGCCCTAGTCAAATCCCGATATCCCTCCTGGAGCCCTTCCGCTATTAAATCAGCTATTATGACCACTGGTTAGTCGTTAAAATCAGCTATTCCGCCCTACCTTAAAAAATATATCTGTAATCTTGAAAAACAATATTGATCTGTTTCGCTTCATGATCTACAGCAATCCAGAGTGACAATGTGAATAAACCGATAAAAAATGAGGTTGGGAATCCAGCAACTCCTTACCAATTTGGAGCCGGAGAAGTAACAATGTTTGATCCATTACGACCAGGGTTAGTTTACGAGACAGAAATAGCCGATTATCTACTGTTCCTCTGCAACTGGGGGTACAATTCATCTACAATAAAACTCATCTCATCATACCTTCCAGCAAACTTTTCTTGCCCAACTAACTCCTCTAAGAAAGAACTGATGTCTAACATCAACTACCCATCAATTGTCATCATTCAATCCGCTGATCAAAAGTACCAGACGGTTAAAAGGACAGTGACAAATGTTGGCGACGAAGAATCGGTTTATACAGTAAGTGTCGAAGTTTATGAGCAGCTGGAAGTCACGGTGAATCCTACAGAGTTGAAGTTCACGAAAAGTACGAACAAGTTGACCTATGAAGTTACTTTTAAGTACACTGATGCTTCATTCGTTGATGAAGAATTTACGCATGGTTCCATCACATGGAGCAATGACAACAAGTATCGAGTTCGCATCCCTTTTATCGTCAGAAAATATCCAAGCCTTCTCTAATGCTAGATCTGTCTGATTTGAATTTGTGTTGCAAGGAAATTCAACACAAATATCCCATTTAAACGTGTGGATACATAATATCCCATTTTTAAACGTGTGTCTGATTTAAACGTGTGGATACTTAATATCCCATTTTTCTGATTAGTTATGGAGTGAAGCTTTGATTTAACCAGGCATTCCAAAGATTACAGCTAGAGTTTGCAGACAAAAATTGGTATCATTTATATGCCCCAATCAATCCAATAGAATATTTGTTATGGATTGTAAGCTATCTTTTCTCCGCGTTTGTCTAACATCATTTATGATTCAATGGAGTTCAGTAATGACTGCCAAGTTTCAACTTGGAACATGGCAAGTGGGCACATGAATAAGTACTATAGGACCATTTATTTTTACATTTTCGTTGTTTGCGGGGAAAACAAAATGATGAGTACTCCAATTTTGACCAGTTGAGCGTTTCTATCGATTTCGGCTTATTTCATTCTTAATATTTAAAAGATGATAAAATATGGTTTTGCATATCTCTTTCACAATGAGTACAAGGACTATATATAACATGCTTACATGCTCTTTACAAGGAAGTATATCCTACAAATCTATAGAATTAATGTCAAATCAATCAACATAAAAGAGAATCAGACCTTGATTGACAGAATATCATTCATATCTTCTATGATCATCTATTATGCCCCCGCAAGCATAAGGGTCCAGGAAGGACACCAAGCTTGGACCGTTGTCGAAGAAATAATTCTCTAGCCAGTGCTTTAGTAAGAGGATCAGCCAGTTGATCTGTGGTATGAACATGAGAGACGCGAAGAGTGTCACGGGAAACTTGATCTCGAACAAAATGGAAGTCAATGGCAATGTGCTTCATCCGAGAGTGAAGTACAGGATTAGCACATAAGTAGGTGGCTCAAATATTATCGCAATATATTGTAGGAGTAGATGTAGACACTGCAAGTTCACGAAGCAAGTTACATATCCAATTAAGTTCAGCAGTAGTGGAAGCAACCACCCTGTATTTTGCTTCGGTAGAAGAGCAAGCAATAGTACTTTGCTATTTTGAACTCCAACTAATAGGATTAGAGCCTAGAAACACAATATATGCGGATGTAGAGTGACGAGTATCAGCATTGCCAGCCCAATCCGCGTCAGCAAAGGCATGAAGATGAAGAGGTGATTTGGCAGATAGAAAAATACCATAATGAGAAGTGCCTTTTAGGTAACGAAGAACACATTTGACAGCAAGCCAGTGAGTTCTTGTCGGGCGATGCATGAACTGAGCTAGCTTGTTGACGACATAACCAATATCTGGTCGAGTTAAGGAGAGATATTGGAGTGAGCCAACAACTTGACGATATTGAGTGGGGTCATGAGCGGAAGTGCCATCATTAAGTTTGAGAGTTACAGATGGTGTGACGGGAGTGCTGACTGCTTTTGATTCGAACATATTGTTACGGTGAAGAAGATCAGTAATATATTTTTGTTGAGAGAGAAAAGACCATTTGAAGTACGAAGGGTTTGGATACCCAAAAAATAGTGGAGAGGACCAAGATTTTTCAAGGAAAAACGTTGAGAGAGTTGAGTTATAAAACGTTTAATGAGAATTGGATCATTTCCTGTCAAGATAATGTCATCAACATACATTAGAAAGTACATAGTTTTAGATCCAAGAGAGAAGATAAACAGGAAGGAATCGCTTTTGGAATTAATAAAGCCAGCTGAGAAAAGAAATGAACGAAGTTCAGTACACCAGGGTCGAGGAGCTTGGCGAAGCCCATAAATGGCTTTGTTTAATTTGCACACAAAGGAAGGATGCTTGGGATCAATGAAACCTTGCGGTTGCTGCATGTAAACACAATCAGAGAGAGTCCCTTGGAGGAACACATTGTCTACATCTAGTTGATTGATTACCCAACCGCGAGAAATAACAAGTGTAAGAATAATCCTAATGGTGGTAGTTTTGACCACAGGACGGAATGTATCGGTAAAGTCAACACTAGGTCTTTGATGAAACCCCTTAGCTACAAGACAAGCTTTGTAGCGAGAAATGGAACCATCCGAATTTTTTTTTAATCTTATAGACCCATTTGCACCCAATAACATTTTGAAGAGAGGAAGGAGAAACAAGAGTCCATGTTTTATTTGATGTAAGGGCATTGAATTCATCTTGCATGGCTTCACGCCACACAGGATTATTGTTCGCTTGAGTGAAAGAAGTAGGTTCTAGGTCAGATATGGAAGAGGATGTTGCAGCAGCAAGAGATAAGATTTTTTTAGTTTGAAAATATTGTTTTGTGCTCGTGTGACCATGCGAGGGGGCTGAGATAGAGATGGAGTTTTGTTGGAAGAGGATGGTGTGGAAGATTCTTGAATCGAAGGACTTAACGATATCGGAGAGGGGAGGGCATCCGCCTACAAGGAGGAAGTAACCGGAGTCGTGTAAGAATGCGGCATCGGGCAAGGAACATGAATGACGTGAGGACTTTGTGAAGGTGTTATAGAGGTTTCAGTATCACTGTCACATGAAGGAGATGAGTTGTGTCCTTTAGTCATAAATTGAGTAGAGTGATCACAGAGGTTGGAGGATGAAAGAGTATATTCAGAAGGCAAGTGACTTTTATAAGGAAAATGAGATTCCAAGAATACTACATGACGAGATAGAAAGACTCTATTTTTTGAAGTGTCAAGACATATAGAATAGTGATGAGTGGGAGAATGACCGAGATATATACATGGAGTTGAACGGGGTTGAAGTTTGTGTGTGTTGTAAGGTCGGAGCCATGGATAACATAAGCACCCAAAAACTTTAAGTGAAGTGTAAGTGGGAGATTGCCCAAAGAGCTTTTGATAGGGTGTGATATTTTGGAGAGTTGGAGTCGGCATGCGATTAATAAGGTAGGTTGCAGTTTGGAAGGCATACGACCAGAACTTGAGAGGCATAGAAGCTTGATGGAGGAGATTGAGACCCGTATTGACTATGTGGCGATGTTTACATTCAGCTGCACCAACATGTTCAGGAGTGTAAGGAAGAGATATTAAATGTTGAATACCCTTAGTTCGTAAAAATAAAGACAATGGTTTATACTCAGTCCCACCATTAGGGTTTTGATTCGAAGGTTGAAATAATTTTCAATGACATTGCTAAAGGTTTCAAAGATTGTACTTACATCAGATTTGAACTTCGAAGGATATAACCATGTGTATTTTGTGAAGTAGTCGATAAAGATAACATAATACCGAACGTTACCAAAAGAAGCTATTGGGGCTGGTCCCCAAACATCAGAATAGACAACTTGAAAAGGAGAGGTGCAAATAATACTTGATTGATGAAAAGGCAACTTATGATTTTTATTGCATAAACAAGAGTCACATACATGATCATCATCATGATTAATTGAGGGAAGATGACTCTGACTTAAGTTTTTTTGTTGAATGGGAAGAGAAGGACTTGGAGAAAATCTATGAGTGGATGTGGAGGTTGGCCATTCGTAGAGATTATTTTTACTCCAGCCTTGCACCAAGGATGCCCCCGCGTTCAGATCCTTCACAAGAAAAGAAAATGGAAAGAATTCAATGAAGCAATACTTTTGTTGATAGAATTGAGAGACAGAAATTAGATTTCGTTTAATGTGAGTAGCACATAAGACATTATGAATAAGAAATGAACCATGTTTAGAATCAAGATAACGAGAACCAATGTGAGTGATAGGAATACCAGTGCCATTGCCAACTACAATATCTTCATTACCAATGTAGTTGGAGAGCAAAGAGAGATTTTCTAAGTCAAAAGTAACATGATGAGTGGCGCCATAATCAAGTGCCCAACTATCATTGTAGGGAGAATCACAATCAATCAGATTAGCTTGTGAAGGGGGCTAAAAGTGTGCTGGTTGTGCACGAGAATGTCAGAATTTTGCACTGTGACCTGTCCTATCACAAAGTTGACAAAAAAAGAGGAGGAAAATTGTGAGTAGAAGATGAACATGACATAGAAGAGGGACGAGCTGCATAGTTTTGAGCTGGTTGATAAGGTGGTTGTGGCCTGGTGCCAAAAAATGGAGAACGCATTTGAGAATAAGTTGGTCGAGGAAGTAGGCATGTGTAGTTATTAAATGGCAAAGACTGACCACCACGACCACCGCCACAATGACCACCACGACTCCCTCTTGTGCCTCGACTGCGTTGAACAAATTGAGCAGTGATTGGAGTTTGTGACACAACATCCGGTTTGACAACACCTTGACTCTGAATGGTTTCTTCATCAATGAATTTGTCGTACAATTCTTCAAAGGTCATCACAGAATCATGAACTCGAACCACAGCGGCAAGTTCTTTGTAGTCATTGTTCAAGCCATTAAGAGCATAAGAGATAAGTTGAGCATCTTGCAAAGGGTGCCAATGAGTTCAAGATCATCAGCAAGTTGTTTGACACGATTCATGTACTCAGCCACCGTTTTATTCTCCTTATTGTTCGACATAAGGGAGGAGAGAAGAGACATCATCCTGGTGTTAGATTGATTAGCGAAACTAGACTCTAAATTTGCCCAGGCTTCGACTGAGGTTTTGCAATTGTTGATTTGAGGACCAAGAGTGCTATAGATGGTAGACTAGATGCCAAGAATGATGAGACGGTCTTGGCGAGTCCATGTGATGTGTGATGGATCGGTGGTTGGTGGGCAAGGATTGGATCCATCGACAAAACCCAATAATCCATAATGAAAAAGAAGGTTGGTCATCTGGGGTTTCCATGATGTAAAGTTTTCACCGTTTTTGGCAAGCTTGAAGGGTATTTGGGATCAAGCATTCAAAGAGATGAGATGGGGAATAGAGTTTGTGGACGAAGTTGGGATGACTGTAGGTTCAGGAATTACAGAAGAGGGGGAAGGGGTTTTTCCACTATCAACGGAGGACTCAAGACCAGTGCGGCCGTCCAAAGAAGCAGCTTAAGAAAAAAATAAGAATTTGGGAAAGAGTTGTGATTAGGAACAAACTCTATT